AGCAGTGAAGGTCCTGGCAAGCCCTTCAAACCAGACCGAATTTCAGAGCCATTCAGCACCTTCAGCTGTCCTTGAGATGAATGGTTACCGTGAGTGTGAAACAACACTGCAAATCAGAGCCCTCGTTTGCCAGCATACATCTAAATATAAGTTAAGTGTCTATCTTCGAGCTGCCAAGCCCGATTATTTTTGGCTGGCACACATAATGTACAACCCTATGAATCACTCTGTGTAATGCTCCAGGCCTGTGGGATTCTGCTGGCACGGCTTTGTGGAGAGGGGGGTGGAAAAAATGCCAGAGTGGTGAGTGAGGAGTGCTTGGGAATGGGATTTTTTTGGGGGGGACAGCGTCACCTGTAAGGCTGCTCTCCAGTGTGGGTCCGCAGGTGCCTCGTCAGGTTGGCTGAGCGTGGGAAGATCTTGCCGCAGTACCTGGGCAGGGAAAGGCAAAAAAAAATGGTCAGGAGAGCCCATGGATGCCACGGCACATCCTGCACCACCCCGTGCTGACATTGTTCCCAAAATCCCTTTGTGCGTGCGGAAAAATCGGGGAGGACAAAACTGCCACCCCCCATGGGATGGAATGGGAGCACTGGGAAAATTGAGGGAGCTGGGAGGGCTCAGACTGGAGAAAAGAGGCTCAGAAAGGACCTTTTTACTCCACAAATCCCCCTCAGGATTTGTGAAGGTGGTGTTAGGCTCTGCTCCCAGGGAACGAAGGGCAGGACAATGGGAAACGGCCTCGAGCTGCACCAGAGGAGGTTTAGATTAGATATTAGGGAATTTTTTTCCTCAGACTTTTGGAATGGGATGCCCAGGGAGGTGGTGCAGTCACTATCCCTGGAAAAAGTGTTCTGAAAAAGTGTGGACGTGGCACTTGAGGMCATGGTTTAGCTACAGCATTCCTGCCTCAGGGTACAGAGGGTTTAATCGCTGCCTGCTCAGATTGGCACTTGAGATGTTTCTGCATCTCCTTTRTGGCCCTGTTGACGTGCTCATCATACAGGATCTGCTCTTTCATCCTTGGAATTCACAGAATTTTCCTCTGGATAAAAGCTGCAGAGCCCTGTTGTGGGTTAGGAGGCTGACAGGCTGCTCAGAGCAAGGAAATGCAGCCGTAGGAAATTAATAAATTGTGTTCTACGATAAATCCACTCCACAGTAAAATCAGAAAGGTGTAAATAAAAACACTCATTGGGAAATAAAATACTAAAGCTRCACTCTGTGGCTATGAAATCTACTGTAGGAGGAAGCTATGACAGACTTTCCTAATTTCAGAGACCTTCAGCTGTCCTGAAGATGAACAGTTAATGTGATTTCAGCAACAGAAATCCAAATGTTAACTTGTGAGTGTGCACCCAAAATTTAAGTTTTGTCCCTTTTGTATTTAGAAACCTCAAATTTCTAAACACTGAAATCTGAGCCAGCAGCTTTTGTGGTGAAGTTGAACATAAAAGACAAATCAACCAAAGTTTGTGCCCACGTTCTGCACCCAAAAAAATCCCTCAGCAGGAGCCACCACGAGAACCTYGAGGTAAAACTGCAACAGTAGAGTTTGTTATTAAATACCCATGATCTGCTCCGGTTTGGAGCTGTGATGGGTACATGAKGATTTCTGTGGATAGAACTGGGTTTGAAAAACCATCCTGCATGCCAATTGTTAAAATTTGATCATTTTTCCATAGCTGAGGTTGGATAGAGCCGGGACTGGCTTTGGGAGCGGCGGCGATGACTTGGCCTGGGGAGCTGAGTTCACTTGAGAATCTCCAGATCCGCTCCCGAGGTTATTAAAAATTACAAAGCAAACAGAAGATGCTGATTTCCAACCAGACAAAACAAGCTATTTCAGAGGGAATTAGTCATCCCAGCTCTGATTGTGCCGCTCCTTATTTTCCCTCCTGGCAGAGACGCCTGTGTGGAGCTGCTCCAGTCCCTGCTGGTGTCCCAGGGCCGGGGTGGCACATCCTGGGGTGTTTGTTTCCACATCCCAGGGTGTTTGTTTCCACATCCCAGGGTGTTTTCACATCCCAATGTGTTTATTTCCACACCCCGAGGTGTTTCCACACCCTGGGGATGGATCTGGATGCTCGGCTCACCTGCAGGTGTAGCGCTCCTTGCCCTTGCGCAGGATGGGGTCGGAGAGCGTGGGCGGCGGTGATCTGAAGTTGAAAGGGTGGTGGGGAAGGGGCTGCAGGGACGAGGTGGAGTCGGCCTTCATGGCTGCAAAGCTCTCCAGTTTCTCCGTCATCGTCTCGATGGCTGACATCTGCGGGAAAAGGAGAGAGCTCCCATCAGGAAAACCCCTGGGAAAAGCAGGATTTGATGCACAAAACTCAGGGTTGGGTTGGGGAAAAGCCTTTGATGGTGTTTGCTCCCACTCTTGGAGGCGCAGTGGGAAATGGGAAAAGCCTTTGATGGTGTTTGCTCCCACTCTTGGAGGCACAGTGGGAAATGGTACCTCTGGATGGAGCCATATATATTTATATATAAAATATATAAAATATATAAATATATATAAAATATATAAATATATTTTATTTATACCAAATGGAGCCAGGAGAGCCAGGAATGGGGTGTTGGTCACGGGGAAAGCAGAAAAGGCTCAGTTGACTTTTATGTCCTAGAAATCAGCACTTGTTCCTTTCCTGCGATGTGCTTGTGCTCACTTCCAGCACTTTGCATTAAAAATTATTGCAGAATACACCAGAGACATTGTTTTTTTCAAGGAATAACCCTGAAATTAAACACAACAGGTATTTGTATCCAAATATCCAAGCCCAAACTGAAGCCTTGGGGTACAGGGAGGTTGCTCCTGGTGTCCCCTGGAGCATCCCGGGGGCTCAGAGGGACGGGGCAGCTAGCTGTGGGTGGCCAGGCAGGGACACGGCCCCAGGAGAGTGGGGACAGAGAAGTTTTGGCCCTAAAGCTGAAGAATTCTGGCCAAAGTCGGGTGTGAGGGATATGTGATGGCAGCTCAGAGAGCTGAGATTGGAGAGGATGAGGCTGAAGGGGTGAAGAGGGAGCAGCTGGGAAGAAGAGGAAGAGCTGGGATCAGGCTCAGGATGGAGTKGTTCCACAGGGAGTTTGCCTGGTGAAGAGGCCAACACTTAAATTATGGGTAGGAAAGGTTCATCAACCCCTCAAGGTGATGGAAGGATGGGTGGGAGATGGCTGAGCTTCCTGGAGGGGAGAGGGTGGGTGAGTTACAGTCAGGAGGAGCAGCAYCTCCACATCCCATTGGAGTGGGAGCAGATGGCACACAGGCCTGGAGATGGGACACCGAGCAAAAAGTCCCTGGGTGTCTTTATCAGATCTGGTTTGCATGATTTTCCTACAGCTGTGTTCTCACAGGCATGAGAAAAACCACAAAGAGGGAGAAAGGGAAAAACCTGGAGATGCAGAAGGGGAAGACAAAAAAAAAGGGAAAAAACGAAGTTGAGGAAGACAAAAAAAAAAGGGAAAAAACAAAGTTGGGCTATGTGCAAAAAAAATTAAAAAATGGATCTGCATAAAAACCCCACCTAAAGAACAGCACTTTTACTTTCATTACAGCAAAACAGGAAACCCAAATCCGAGGGAGCAACGGGGCTTTGGACGCCGCCACCGCCGACATCTCCGACATCCAACTTGGTGCACTCCTGAGAGCACTTTGGAGATAGCAGGGGCAGAAAAGAGGGACAAAGCAAACAAGGAGGCCATAAAGCTGCCTCCTGGCTGGGCTGACATCACCGCGACAGGCGGGAGCTGTGGAGGCAGCCGGGGCGGCAGCGAGGAGCGGAAGGCAGTAGGAAGCCATACATCACCCCGAGATGCTCGATTGTACAGGAAGGGCTGACCTTTTGCACGTTTACACTTTATTAAACTGGGCTTTAGGAAAGAGGTGGGGGAAGCAGAGTGGAGATATTGTTTAAAAATACATGGCTACGGAGAGAAGTTGTCTCAATCACCGCAGAAGACATTGTGGAGGGCTGACAACCATTCATAAGCCGTTAAAAAAGAGGAGAAGTAACCCCCGTTCCCCRATAATAGATCCGCAGCCCCTTAGCTGGAGGCTCCCAGCCCATGATAAATAGTAAGTAATACTTAGCACCAGCCACTTGAAAAGGTTACTTGATCATTTACAGCGCCAGCTCTGCCCCAGCTGCCAGTCATGCAACAAAACCATCACGTTAAAAAGCTCTCCGGACCTTTCAGAGCCGCGCTCTCAGCCCTTCGCAGAGGTACCTGGAGCTCTCCTTTGTTGTGCCCTGTTCTTTAGGCACTTAGTCAGAGATATTTGCTGGCTTGAGAGCTGCAGGCTGGTTTTAAAATTCTAAACACTGGCCACGGCCTCTCCGGTGGCAAAGGCACTTTGCTATTTAGGGAACAACTGCCTGGTTTTARTAAAACAGAAAGGGGGAAGAAAAGGAACTTAACAGGTGAGGAAAGGCTTTCCATTAAGTTATCAAAAAGTTACACCGGTTCTTTATGTTCTCCAGAGTTTCATTCAGAATAGACAATGTAAGAAAACTCCCAGAGAGCAAAGGAACTTCTGCCAGCGACTGGCTGAGAATTAAGAGCTGCCTGAAATWCGTTTTGAGAGAGGAAACATCTCCTGAATGCTTTTATCACATCTTCTGGCTTCATCCCATCCCAGTGAGGGCACCCCAAGAGAGCTGGGGATTAGTCACAGAGGAAAAGGCTGAGATCAGACTCGTGTTTGGAGTGAGACAAGCCTGGGTAAAACGTGACTGTGACTGACCCAGCACAGGAACGCTGGTCCTAATGAAGAAAGCAGAAGCAGGAACCCTGAAAATGTGATTTCTTAGGAAAAGATCTAGGGTCCAGAGTCCTTAGGAATTCTGGATCCAAGGAATGTTGACAGTGCCAGAGGGATTGTTGGGGTGTCCTGTGCAGGGCCAGGAGTTGRACTGGATGATTCTTGTGGGTCCCTTCCAGCTCGGGGCATTCTGTGATTCTGTGATAACATTGGGAGGGGTTCTGGTGGTAMAAATCCCCCATATTCTGGGAGAAATACCCAGTGTCCCTTCACTGTATCCGAAACATCTGACTGACAGCAGCATGGGAACGGCGCCTCTCCAGATCGAGTGATCTGAGCACAGCRGCCGCTTTATGAAAAATCAGTGATCAGGAAGCTTTGGCCTGGGGTGATTGTGAATTTGAGGCTWTTCTGCGTGATAAGCTGTTAGAGATAACCAGACCTTCCAGATCTTTTCACTGCCATGGGAAGAGGACGTGGTCAGGATTTCGGGAACAATGTTAACAACCTTCCACCCAGAGCTTGCTCCTGCTCGGGGYCTGAACGTTTCTCATCGTCTCCTCGGCTTGCTTTGCCATGCTGGCTCCTCCCTGCTATCAGATTCTTTACAGGCAGATATCCCCACTATTCTAACTCACACAAACACAGGATGTTCCTGGCCAGCCTGTCACCATTATCCAGCCTGGATGAAGGAAAAATCGGGGGAAGTTATTAACCAAACTCTGAGGCTGGGGTGAAACAATGAGGGAACTAAGTTTAGCTGAGAAAGCAACCAGGACCCAGCTTTCACAAACCTGCCAGTTATTTATCTAAGGTGGGAAACATTATCAGGGGAGAACAATGCTTGTRAGCCTCAAGGAGAGCACAATGAGCACCACGGAGCTGGGATCCCAGCCTGGTCCCAGCAGGAGGGACGAGGACAGCTGGGAACTGTCACCTTTAGAGCAGCACAGCTGAACCCACTGCCCGGTGCTTCCATAAACTGCTCGTGGTGGAAGAAAAATTCAGGCAGGCAGAAAATGTTGCTGCCTGGGGGCTGGGCACTCCTTCTTCTCTTTTTACCTCTGGAAATGGCCCCAACAGGTGTTCCCAAAGGAAAAAACCACGCAGGCATTCTGGGCTCTGCAAGGGGARTTTGGCAGATCCCACGAGCTGCCCRGACCTCATCCCTGTTTTTCTAGCAACGCAAAACAAACGGCGAGGCACAGCTGCCACCATCCTCAAACCAGGTGTGAATTCAAATTCCTGAGAGGAACTGGTGGGAAACAGTGGAGTTTCCAGTCATCTCCTGGGGGTGAGGAGGAGTCTGATCCCGGTGATCTCAGCGAGTTGTGTGTGCCAGCTCCACATCATGCCCTTAAGCACCGAGTGATGGCATCACCGCTCTTACCTGGGGGTGAAAGAGCAGCGGGGAGGGTCGCAGGTACTTCTCCTTGAGGGCACCCACGGGGTCCGTCACCTTCCGCTTCTCCACCCTGCTGGACAGCACCACAGAGGGTTACATACCTCACAGGCAGCCCCACACAGCCCCACCACGCTTGAATTCTACTTCTACAACTGTCTTCCCACCCTTCTCCTGGACACAACAAATTCTGACGCACGATCACCCCGCAGAAAGTGCTGGAAAAACCAATCCCCTCCTTTGGGCAGTGTTTTTTCAGCTATCAGGCTGATGACTGAGAAAACATTTTGCTCTTGCTCTGCTGCAGTGGTTTATAAGCCTTYGCTGTTGGGTAAAGTCATGGAAAACCCTGAGTTTAGAGCAAAAAGAGTCTGATCAGGAGAAGCTCTACAGCCCACAGCAGGCATGGAAAGAAAATTGTCTTTGAGAGTTTGCGTTTATCTGAAGAGTTAACACTGGGCCAGACATTGCAGCCCCAAGCGTGCTGAAATCATTAGGTGTTTCATATTTGTTTCCTCCCTCGCAGCTGAGACATAATTTGCATTGAGTTTCTTTGGCAAGCCCATGTGGACAACGATGTAAAAAGCGAGGGAATGGTGGGAGAATGAAGCGACTCAGAAACCCGAGTTCTTCTGGTATCTCCTTGGCCCATTCAAATATTTGATGTTTAAGCACCTGAGATGTGGAAATGAGCCTAAAGTGAGGCTCCTATTTTTGAAAATATTGGCTTTGCTTTCACTAARTATTCTACTTGCAGGGAAAGCGTGGTGTGGAATCCCCAAAAAGACAAACTGAAATGTTCTCTGAGGAAAAAAAAAAAAAAAGTTTTGTGGAAGTAACTCCAACAAACACAGCTGCATCTTTAAATGGCTGGAATCGAGTCCATCCAGCTAAACCAGCAGAAATCCAAGAGTAAGAGTAATTTTAACTACATTAGTCCAGCATAAATGGAGAGCAAATTATTTTAGCTGCATTTCAGCTGATTGGTGCATGGATCAAATTACCAAAGAGTTTAAAGAAGAGCTCTGCCGGGTGCAGTCAGCAAACTGTGCTTAATCTGCATTTAATTCTTCTTGGGTAGAGGGAAGAGAAGAGCTGGGTTGGAAACACAGTCAGAATTAGGGGGYTTTGGAAGGTACGTGCTTTTATGGGTCTGGGTTGTCAGAAAAAACAAATAAAATGTAAAAAGTTGCTCCCTGAGCCCCCCAAGGGAACATCCCTGACCCCAGCAGAGCCACCTGGGGAGAGCCCTTTTTGCCCCAYGTGTGTAAAATCTGGTGAGCTGACAGCATTTCCCCAGCTCTGCCATCTCCCAGCATCAGGAAAGAGAACACAGGGTCCAWACACCCCCGTTAGAGCTGAATTCCWCAGCGTCYCGAGGATTAAACTGATCATTWCATCYCAGTGCCTGAGAACGTCACCCTCRTGGGCCGAGCTAAAAACTGCYCCCATTTCAGGCTGTCTGGCTGCATTAAATTATATCACCAGGAGAAAATGTCAAGGATTTAAGCGGCCTTTGGGAGGAAAAACACGAAGGGGCCAAATGATGTGAGAGAGTCTGATAAAGAGAAGTTTAGAAACAAAATATTTCCATATTTTTCAGGCTGGGGCTTGGAAGCCGGGCTGTTTCGCTCATTACATCAGAAGTCTGATTCGCCAGCAACGCCACCGCTGACTTTCTATTTTAACTCATGACCGAAGCGATGTGCATCCCGTGGAATGCAACAAACGATGCCCCCATCCTTCATTTCCATCTGTCTTCTGGGCCTTAACAGTTTTCCCTGTTTTAACTGGCAGCTCCTTTCCCAAGCTGTGTTATTTCAGCATTCCTGCTGAGAATGCCCAGAGGTGGCAGGACCCTATGTGGATTCTTTTCCCTTTCTATCCTATTTATTGATTTTTTTTTTTCTTTTTCCCAGGAGTGTTTTTACAAACACTGTTCACACCGTGTCTGATTTCTCCAGGAGGAGTTGGCCACGGCGAGTGCCAGGCAGGACACGGCAGCTCCTGGGCTGGGAGATGTTCCCTGTGGAACATTTAGGCATGGCTGGGTCTAATTTAGAGGTGTTATTTTCTAAATCAGATTAGCTCAGGACACATCTTTTCACTGGGCTTTGCTAAAACCGAACTTGACGCATCCACCTCATCCACCAAAGGCAACGCCGGGATGGGAAACACACACATTTACTGTCACCCTCACCACATTTAATAATTTTCCTTTGGAAACAGGTTTTATAAAAAAGCTCTCAAGCAGCTAAAGGCTCAAGTGTTCCCTTTGCACCTCCTCCTGAATTGATTCCCTCTGGAAGTTTAGCTGGCATTTGGATAACTTCACCCAGCCTGCTCTACACACGCCTTCCATGTTCAGCTCGTTCTGACGTGACACATCAGGCCCTCCTCAGAACCATCTGCTCAAGYGACACCAGAAAGGCCTTGTTATCTCCCAAGAAGGATAAATTTGTGAGAAATGTATCTGGGAGAGATCTGGGTAGTAACACGCTACCATGTGTTTACACAGTACTTGTTACTCCAGGAGTAACGCATTTCRGCAGGTTGGGTCTGCAGCAGCAGATCCTCCGAACTGAAAAACTCCAAGAAAAGGCATTAGAAGGAAAAAAGGGAGGGTGGGAGGAAGAAAGGTGAAGTGACTCCCAAAAGGCCCTCGYCAGTCAGTGGGAGAGCTGCATTTCCAGGCTCCCAGGGCTCCTGACTCATTCCYAAGCCATGAGAGCCCGAGGCTCCGAGGCATCTGAACTCTGCATTCTTATCGAATCAAACCTCTGGAATTTCCCCAGCAGAAGTGCCATCTTAGCCATGGCTCGTGGGAGAGTCCTTAAATAGGTCAAGTTCCTTCTTTATCAAAATAAGGATGTGTTCCTCACACATTGATTACCAGGGCTCCTCGCAATTAATTACTCAGCCCTTTCCAGTCAGGAAATTCAACGTGTTGAGAGGAACAAACAGCAACAGGAAATGTTCACTGTCCTTCCCAACCAACCTGCACCCTCCCGTGCCTCAGGGTGTGGCATCAGCTGGAAAAGGAGCTGGTTAGGGAAAGATTTAAGGCAGGGTATGTCAATACCTGTAGATGGGGTCCATGAAAAAGGGCGATGGCTTAGCGTAGTGCAGGGAGGGCTGCTGAGGCAGCTGGGACTGGGAAATCTTAGGTAAGACCTCACTTGCCATCAGCTTCCTCTCCCCATAAATGTGGTTTTTCCGTGGCTCTCTCCCTCCGTTCTGGCTGGCTCGGATGCGGTTGCCAATGCTCAGATCCAGTGGCTGCTCCTCCCCCGAGGAGGGGGCTGGGAGGACCTTGGGGGGCGGCAGRATTGGCTTAATCTCTTTTGGCTTCGTGGTGAGATCGAAGGGGGACTCCGAGCTGGTGCCGCCGACTTTGTGGAGGTCCTGGGGTGACTTTGGTTCTGCCTTGACCAGCAAGTTGTGATTGAGGGTCCGCTCCGTGAAAGGGTAGAGGGAATGGGGGAAATTGGGGAGGAACTGGAAGGGGAACATGGAATGATACGGGAGCGAACCCATCTTTTTCTCCTGCATCCCCATAAAGCCAGGCCCAAAATACTTCTCTGCGATGGAGGCGATGGCCTTAATGGAGTCATTGGCTGCCCCCGTGGTGGGCAGCAAGTGCTCCTCGGGGGGAGGGAAGAAGGAATGCTGAGAATAGAAGAGAGGGATCTCGCTCGTGGCATTGGTGGAACTCGCCGACACCGAGCTGCTGACGAAATCCGCCTTGGCCTCCGTCTGTTTGCTTTTATCTTTCGTTTTGTCCCTGTCGCTCTCCGCGTCGCTGTCCAGGTCGGAGCCGGTGCCGGTCGTGGTGTCCAGATCTGTGCCCGTGGTCGTGTTGATGTCCTCAAAGTCACTGCCATCGGACATGTCGCTGTTCCTGGCTTTTAGCTTCTCCAGGTAGGAGTTCTCCAGGCTGCTTTCACATTTCTCCTCCCCCGAAGGGGCCTGGTTGCTGTTGCTCACCGCCGAGATCAGCGGGAGCGCCGGGTTCCCCAGGGGGCTGGGGAGCTTCGCGTCCGGAGTGTGGTTGAGGGGACTTTTGAGCAGTTGCGTGGGCGGTAACAAGGGTGGCCTGGGGTACAAGGAAGGTGGAAAAATCCCCGGGAATCCTGGGGTGAGGGCGGGGAAGGCCGGYGGGGCCGGCGAGAACGGGATCCCGGCCGGGTGCGGGCGCGACGGGAAATACTCGTTAAACCCCAARCCGGCGTGGTTGAGGTTGGGAGAAGGTTTGGATTTGTCCATCATGGAGGTGGGCGTGAGGGGGAGGCCGGGGGCGAAGATGCCGGCGGGGCTGTAATGGTTTTTGCCCTCGCAGAAGCGCCGGTGCTTGTTGAGGGAGGAGGTAGTGCTGAACATCTGCCCGCAGTCCTTGCACTTGATCTGGGTGCGGCAGTCGGCGTGCATCCGCTTGTGGCGGCACAGGTTGGAGAACTGCGTGTAGGATTTGTGACAGACCTCACCTAAAGCGTCAACAGGAGCCAACAACAAAAGCGATATGAAATTAACGGGAAAATACCAGGATTCGATGTTCTCCCCTCGCCGTCCCACCCTGCTCCATCCCTAATATCTCCCTGCCCCAAAGGCACGGGAGGTAAGAGCGGTGGAACACCACCAGCTTCTTCTTTTGGATGAAGTCCATCCTGGAGAATCCCTCAAGAAGCAGCTCTGTCAAAATCTGAGGGGATGTTCTGCTCCTGCTCAAATTTTTGAGGGATTTTTAGTGAAGATAAGCATGGAATCATAGAAAGGTTTGGTTGGGTGCCAGCTTGTGCCAGGGCCTCCCCACCCTCACAAGAAAGAATTGCTTCCTGATATCCAATCKAAACCTCCTYTCTGTCARTGTGAAACCATTCCCCCATGTCYTGTTGATCCATATATTACTGTAAATGTTAAGCCTTACTTCCTTTAGAAAGCTTAATTTTAATGCCTCTGTCAGTTCCTTTAACCAGAATTAAATTCATGTGCATGTAGTTTTCATGTGTGACCTTATTTGATGAGGACGGATTGGGGAAAGTYGGCTAAGAAACATTTATGAGATAAGATCCTSTCAAAAGTAAGGATGCATATTTTTGGAAATGTTTCTTTTCTAGATTGGAATGGTTGAGAGAGACCGTGAAGTCCATCCAATCCCAACCCCTGMAATGGGCAGGGACACCTTCCACTGCCCCAGGGTGCTCAAAACCCTGTCCAGCCTTGCCTTGGACACTTCAAGGGATGGGAGAGCCTGTGCCAGGGCCTCTCCACCCTCACAGGGAATTTTTTTTTTCTATATATTCTCCCAGCCCAGCTTCACAGGGAAGATTCTCCACTCCCCTCAGAATTCATCATACATTTTAATGATAAAATCCATTTATCCCTGCTTGTCTGCTTCCCATTAGTCCTGGAGTGGCAGGAAGCTCTGAGGGCTGGAGGCAGAAACATTTTTCCTCATTTAATCAAACCTGYCCTTCCTTGATGCCCTCAGTGGTGCAGAACCCCTCCAGGGGATGCTCTATAAATCCCCCTGGTTCTGCCAGGGCTGGGATCCCGTTTTTTCAATCCATTAAATCAGTCCAACACCCCTGCCTTGAGAAGTGAGGCCACATCAGCGTTTTCTTTAACGACCTGTAAATACCAAGCTTTCAGAACACAGATTTTTATGACCTCTTTCACCTCCAGACTTCACTTGTGTGGAAGGAATGGGGCAAAGCAAGACAGAAATCCCACCCCAGACTTTTCTACACATCAGAACTCTGGGACTTTTTATTATCTGGTGCCTCTTTCAACGTGGGAATAAATGTGGTGCTGAATTAACACACTCCTTCCCCYGGGGAACTGCTGTTATCACCCTTTTGTGAGCAGGGAAACTGAGACAAAGCARGGGAAGGACATTGTTTGGGGTTGGACAGGCAAGGACACGAATCCAAGTTCTGACACCCGAACTTCCAGCTCAGGGACTGCTCAGTRCTCCTTCCTTCCTCTCAGTTTTACTTCTAGGTTCATTTGAGCGTTGTTTTCCCTGTATTTTCTCCTAAATCTTTAGGTTTTACTTCAGTACTTGAATATTGAATGCTTGGTGGGAGAGTACTTCACTAGCAGCTCTGCAAATATAATAATAAAATTAATTCCAATCGAAGTTCAAAGCAGAGATGGATAAAATTTAATGAATTTGATATTTCTGTTCAGATGAGCACCCCAAAATCCAAAGGAATRTCACGGAAGGAAAATTTCTGACAAATCTCCAGTTCTCCACTGATTTAGTAATTCCACGTGGAACACCTCTCTTACCCTTCTGATTTCTGCAGTTATAAAGTTACAGGTTTGGGGGGCTTTTCCAAGCCAAATATAATATTGTAAAAAATTAAACACACTCCCCACACACAGTCCCTTTTCTTGCATTGAACAGGAAAAAAAAAACAAGAAAAAAACACCCAACAACTTCCTGGTGAATCCTGCCTCGTGGATTTGAAGCTGCTGATGGATTCCACAACGATGGACAAAACAACCTGACACGTCTGACCAGGCAGTTTTCCTCTGCAGAGGTTGATTTGATCTGACAATTCCCTAATTCTGATGAGGTGAGAGTGAGGGGATTATGAGGAGAAATCCCTCATCTCTCCGCAGCAATCCTGCGAGTCAAATTATCCCTTTCATGTGCCCGAGTGAAAGATTGCGGCACAACGAGCGGGAGGAGCTGTTTCTTCTTCCTCTGCTGACACCCGGCTGATTATCCCGGGGCTCTGATTATCAGGACATTAATTAAATGAGTCTCCCAGGATGTTCCTGCATGTTGTTCCCATTATACCAACAGAAAAAAAAAAAAAAAAAAGCAGGAATGGGTTTGGTGGCTTCCCCCACCGCGACATCAAAGCCTGGAATCAAACCCAGATTCTGGTTCGTGTGTTCTGAAGTGTCAGGAAGCGATCCCTAAAATTCCCAGGGCTTTGTTGTGACACCAAAATCCACCTCCCCTCTCATTTATCCAAACCTGATGGGTGCAGTGTCAATTAAAACAACAACAACAACAAAAAAAATACAACTCTGGAAACGGCAAGGAATGGGATGGGTGGCTTTCCAAGGAAAATCACTTTCTGGAAATATCTCACAGAGGACAGAGTTAATCTGCTGCTTGTTTAGCTCCCAGCATTATCTAGATGGAACATRCAGTAAATAAAGAAGAAAAAAACCCCTCTTTTTTTTTTAAAAAAAACACCTTCTCATCTCTGCGATTATTCCGAGTTCTTTACAATGGCTCCAGGATTTGAGGCACCCCTGTAAAACATTTCGATCAGGCTGTGCCAGCTATTTATTTATGTCACCGACAGGAACGTTCAAAAGCGATAAAGGCAAAAAAAAAAAAAAAATAAAAAAAAGGACGAGAGAAAGAAAAGATATGAGAAAATGGCATCGCTGTGACTGCTGAGAGACTCAGCTTTTAACTTGTCAAGAAAGTCAAAAACTGCCACGAATGTTTACTGAAAAAACAGGGAGCATGCAAAAGGAAAAAAAAAAATTAAAAAAAATCATCTTGCGCTCTGAGCTATAAAATTACAGCGGCCGGGGATGGGAGGGTTGGGGGGCCCCGGCAGGATCCCTGCAATTACAGCCAGCCCGGGCTGGTGATGGCCGTGACAACTTACATATGAAAGGTTTGACAGTGCTGTGGATGTGCTTGTGCTGCTTGAGGCCCGAGGAGGTGGCGAAGGTTTTGCCACAGTCGGGGCACGCGTGGGCCCGCGCCCCAACGTGCTGAGAGCGGATGTGCCGCTGGAGGTTGCTGGGGTCCGTAAACACCTGCGGGGAAAAAACACCTTCAGGAGAGGGGAAAAGGCACGGGGAGAAGAGCCTGAGTGTGAAAAAGTTGTTTTGTTGGGTTATTTTTGTTTGGGTGTTTTTTTTGTGGGATGGGGAGCGCAGGTGAGAACAGGAGCTCAGTTTGTGCCCGGCCAGGATGTGGCACGTCCCTGAGTGTGCCAGGGATTCTCTGCACCTCTCAGGCCAGGAATCCAGGGGCTGGTGGTGGAACAGGGCTGTGGCACATCCCTGAGTGTGTGGTGCCCATGGTGGGACAAGTCTGTGGCATCTCCCATCTCCCTGGGTGTTTGGTGCTCATGGTGGGGTGGGACAGGGCTGTGGCATGTCCCCAAATGTGCGGTGCCCATGGTGGCACACGTCTTTTCTCTCCTCCATCTGCCCAGCACAGCCCTCACACCGTCCCAGCACCCAGGGAATGACCAAAGAGGAGAAGGCTGAGCTCCACACCTCCAGTGGGGTGCCCAGGACAGCAAGGACACCCCTTCTCCCTGGGGACAGTGACAGTGGGGTCTCCTCTCCCTGTATCACCCTGCTCTGGGCCACCCATCCCCTGTATCCCTCTCCCCAAATCCCAGTGCCCTCCCCAGGTGAAGCCCCCCATGGAATCCATCCTGCATCCCTTCCTCCAGGTCCCAGCACATCTTCCCAGATGGAGCCTGCCATGGACAGTGTCACCTGCAGCCTTTTCCCCAAATTCCAGTGCCCTCCCCCAGGTGAAGCTCTCCATGGACACCGTCACTTTCAGCCCTTTGCCCAAATCCCAATGTTCTCTCCCAAGTTAAGTCTCCCTTTAGAAATTGTTCTGCATCCTTTCCCCCAAATTCCAGTGTCCTCTCCCAGCTGACGTCCCCCTGGAAAATTTTTCAACATCCCTTTCCCCAAATCCTAGTGTCCTCTCCAGGTGAAGCCCCATGGAAACCGTCCTGTACCCCTTCCCCAAATCCTAGTGCCCATCCCCCAGGTGAAGCCTCCATGGCCACTCTGTCCTGCACCCCAAGGTCAAAGTGTCCTCCAGATGAAACCCTCATGGTCATTCTGTCCTGCTCCCTGAGGTCACAGTGTCCCCCCTCAAGGTGAAGCCCCCCATGGTCACTGTGTCCTGCTCCTCAAGGTCCCACTGTCCCTCCTCGAGGTGAATCCCCCCATGGTCACTCTGTCCTGCACCCCATGGTCACTCTGTCCTGCTCCCCAAGGTCCCAGTGTCCCCCAGATGAAGCCCCCCATGGTCACTCTGTCCTGCTCCTCATGGTCACTCTGTTCTTCTCCCCACAGTCCCAGTGTCCCCCCCAGATGAAGCCCTCATGGTCACTCTGTCCTGCATCCCATGGTCACTCTGTCCTGCTCCCCACGGTCACTCTGTCCTGCATCCCATGGTCACTCTGTCCTGTACCCCATGGTCACTCTGTCCTGCTTCCCGTGGTCACTCTGTCCTGCACCCCAAGGTCCCAGTGTCCCCCAGATGAAGCCCTCATGGTCACTCTGTCCTGCACCCCGTGGTCACTCTGTCCTGCATCCCATGGTCACTCTGTCCTGCACCCCATGGTCACTCCGTCCCACTCCCCCAGATCCCACTGTCCCCCAGGTGAATCCCCCATGGTGACCATGTCTCCACCATACCTTAACACAGTTTTCACATTCAAACCGTTTCCCGCTGTCGTGAGACATCTGGTGACGGATCAGGTTGGATTTCCAGTTGAAAGCCTTGGGGCACTGGTCACACTTGTAYTCCCTCTCCTCGGTGTGGATCACCATGTGCTGCTCCAGGCTGGCAGAGAGAGACAGGCTGACCTCAGGGCCACCCAAAACGGCCACTGAGGCAGGGCTGAGACCCCCAGAGGTGACACAGATGGGGACAGAGCACCGGCTGTGGGGTCTGGGGGGTTTCCAGTTACCTGGTGCCTCAGACCAGGAAGGCAGCAGAGATACCCAAACCCTCTGATTTTTTTTCCATTTATTTCCCTGATGGAAGACACCCTGCTCTACCTCTTATCCTATTTCTTACAATTCCCGAGCCTATTCTCAAGGGGGAAAAGGAAAATAAGACCAGCCCTGACCCTGCAGAGTTCCTGAGGGGGAAAATGGGCACTTTGTGACCAAAATTCCTGTGGCATCCCCTGGGAGAAAGCAAAGATATTTGTTTTCACGTGTCCGTTTTCACGGGCACCCAGCCCACGGCTTCCCAGAGCACACAGGGACTCAGCGTTGGGAAGAAACACGATCAGGTGCAAACACGTTTCACTTCTGAACGTCAGACATCTTCGATTACTTCACTCAGCAATTCCACCTTCTGCCAACTGGCAGCAGCTCCCGGCCTGGGGGATGGTGACAATCCCGGGTGGCCGCTGGCACGGGGCCACAGCAGGGGTGGCACATGGAGCACTGTGACATGGGGAGCCTGCATTGCTCCAGACAGGAATTCTGCACATCTTAGAACCTTAAATCCTGCATTTCTGAGGCCAGGAATTCTGCACATCTCAGCCCCTTAAATCCTGCATCTCTCAGTCATTAAATCTTGCACCTCTCAGACCCTTAAATCCTAAATCTCTCCAGCCAGGTATCCTGCACCTCTCAGCCCCTTCAATCCTGCTTTTCTGAGGTCAGGAATCCTGCACATTTCAGGCCAGGAATCCTGATCTTCTCATACTGGGAATTCTGCACCTCTCAGACCCTTAAATCCTGCCCCTCTCACACCAGGAATTCTGCACATCTCAGTTCAGGAATCCTGCATGTCTCCACTCAGGAATCCTGCACCTCTCAGCCATTAAATCCTGCATGTCTCCAGCTAGGAATTCTGCACATCCCAGGCCAGGAAATGTGATCATCTCAGGCAGGGAATCCTGCACATTTCAGACCCTTAAATCCTGCATCTCTCCAGCCAGGAATCCTGCACATCCCACCCAGGAATCCTGCACCTCTCATCCAGAAATCCTGCACATTTCAGACGTGGGATCCCGAATCTCTCATGCTGGGAATCCTGAATCTCTCAGGCCAGAAATCCTGCTCCTTTCAGACCTTTCCTGCTCATCTCAGCCAGAAATCCTGAGAAACAAGGATCGAAAACCTGCACCCTTTAGGGTATTTTGAGAGGAATTACAAACTTCTCTGACTGTGAATGGCAGCCAAGACCATCTCACAGGGAAYCTGCTCCTGCCCTTCAGGTGGATATGAACCCATTCCTATAAAACTTTAAAGCAGGGCTGTGTTTTTATAGAAACGTTAAAKCTGAGCACTGCTGGCAAATCCTGCCAGTCTTAAATGACACGGAGGGGGAAGAGAATTCCTGGGAATTTCCAGAGAACCAGAGCGGTTCAGGATCCCAGGAATTGTGTCAACCTTGGCCATTCCACACCCAAAAACTCCTCAACCAGCCCTGTTTCCAGCCAGATAATTCATATTCATGGCCATGCCCCTCATAAAGTGCCAACCCACTCATTTTAAAGCAGAAATATTCATTTTCCTCAAGAAATGCTGCTCTTAAAACAACCAGATTTTTTACACACGTAAAATAACGCAAACCTTTCATRCCCACATCCAAAAATACACCCGTGTTAACTGTGATTTATGAGTTTGTTTGGAGCAAATATGGACAAACTAATACGCTGTTTAGAGGCAAGTACCTACTGGGATTAGCAAAACATTTATTTATTTAGTCAGCTGCTAAATGCTCAATTTCAGGTCCCCAGTGGCACCCTTGATTTCATCCGTATTAACTTTGAGAAATTCTGAAACCATCCAGGCTCTCTGAGTGGGTTTATTTGGTGTTTTTAGTGATTTTTAAACTTGGCAGGTTGGTGGGGGAGAGGCAGATGAGGACATTTCCTCCCCAACCCCAGTGTGTCAAAGGCTGAATGGGGATGCTGCTAACACCCCTTTCCCTTGATAAAAAATCAACTTTATAAAAAAAAAATCAAATTTACAAAAAAAAATCAACTTCATAAAAAAAAAATCAACATTATATTACTTATCCCCAAAAAATTGGGTCTAAAAGTCAAAAAAACCTAAGGCCACAGTGGCAACTAAGACCTCAAGAAGCCAGGAATACACAGAGGTTGCAAATAGGATGCAACACAAATATTTAAAAGGGTATTTTCTAATTAACTTAAAAATTAGAGCCAGGAATACACAGAGGTTATGAAAAAGATACAACACAAACATTTTAAAAGGGTATTTTCTAATTAATTAAAAAATTAGATAGCACTGCAAGCTAAGGAGGAGAGAGCTTTTAACACCGAGAGATAAAAGAACTGGAATTTTGACTAAAATACAAAATATTGAAAACATTTGAAGGAAGTTCATTAAAAAAATGCAGAAAATTTCAAGCTCTGGTGTTTAATGGATATAACCAATGCAGAGACACAAGGTGAGGGGTAAAGATGCCACATTGAGAGGATCCCACACARGAATCCCAATATCCATCCCAAATTCTACAAATCCATCCTCACACTGAAACTCTTTTCCCTGCAGATGCAGGGAATGACCTTTAGGCTTCACCTTCCTCAGCATTTTTTAAAATAATTTTTTTTTTTAATCTCGCTTCCTCACGCAGATCAAAGAGCTGAAAGCATCCATGCGATGGAGTTCAAAGTGACAAAAGCAGGTTTTTTAAATGTTAAAAACTGAAGTGAAACAGGCTTTACACGGGCTTTAACCTCGAGGTTTTTGCTCTGCTGGGGCACAGCCTGACAGGGGATTGCCAGTTCTCACAGTTTTATTACAAATCTTGTGGTGCACGGGGGTTGKTTCACCCAAGAAGGCAAAAGAAATGAGTATGTGAGAACTTCAGCCTCCGGTAAAGAGAGAAAACTCTGCTTTTATAGAATTTTAGAAAGGCTTTTATCAAGGCTTAGGATGCAAATAAACACAATCTTAAAGTGATTWAAAAAAAAAAAAAGTCAACTTTTAAAGCTGGCTCCTGATATTTAACTATTTGAGTCTCACTTTGACAGTGAATTAGAGAGCTCAAAGATCTCTGTGTTAAAGCTGCATTTCATTACTGCCACATTCTGCTTAAAAAAAATGCAGATTTTCAGTTAAAACCCGAGTTAAAATACTTTTCCTTTTAAAGAGAAGTTTAATTCTTGTTTAGAGTCACCTTGTAATCATAATAATAACTGAATAATTGTTGCAAATTAAAAAATGAGCCGGAGGATATCCAATCTTTTTTTTTTTCTTTGCACATTTCTGTTACAAGAACGTTTGGTGGACACAAAGAAAATAAAAAAGTTTGATTGGAATAGAACCTTTTAATTGTTCCTGCCAGATCAAACAGGAGCTGGTGACCATATTACGAGTTCCTAGGGCATCGACACCTCTTAAACCCGCTGATCTCAAACGAGCAAGAATTAAATTGAAAAGAAGCTTTCATGCACATTTTAACTGAACCAATATTGGTATTTTTTCCCTCAGAACCAGAGCATAGGGGAGCAGAGGGTGCAGAGATCCCACCCAAGTCTCTCAAGCTCAAGGAACCCCCAAAAAAACCCTTAAAAATCCCCATCCACAACCCCTGGATGGAAAAGCAGCAATCCACGAAATCAAGGGGAAATAAAACAATTCCCAATGGCCACAAAGGATCCCAAAGGGAAAATTCCTAAACCTCATAGGGGAAGGAAGGGTTTCTATGGAGAAAGTAAAGGTTTATCCCAAAAAGAACATTTTGAAATGTGATGGAGATAGGAAAGGCTTTTATGGAGAAAGGAAAGTTTTATCCCAGAAAGAACGTTCCTAAACCCTTTGGGGAAAGGAAAGATTTATCCCCAAAAAGAACATTCTTAAAGCCTATGGGGAAAGGTTTCCCTGGAGAAAGGAAAGGTTTATCCCAAAAAGAACAATGCTAAACCCTTTGGGGAAAGGAAAGTTTTCTATGTAGAAATGAAAGGTTTCTATGCAGGAAGGGAAAGGGTTCTGTAAAGAAAGGAAAGGTTTGTCTCAAAAAGAACATTCCTAAACCCTACAGAATTAGGGTTAGAAAGGGAAGGTTTCTCTGGAGAAAGGAAAGGTTTATNCAACTCCTGGATGGAAAAGCAGCAATCCATGAAATCAAGGGGGAAATAAAACAATTCCCAATGGCCACAAAGGATCCCAAAGGGAAAATTCCTAAATCCCACAGGGGAAGGAAGGGTTTCAATGGAGAAAGTAAAGGTTGATCTGAAAAAGAACATTCTGAAGTGTGATGGAGATAGGAAAGGCTTTTATGGAGAAAGGAAAGTTTTATCCCAGAAAGAACGTTCCTAAACCCTTTGGGGAAAGGAAAGTTTTCTATGTAGAAATGAAAGGTTTCTATGCAGGAAGGGAAAGGGTTCTGTAAAGAAAGGAAAGGTTTGTCTCAAAAAGAACATTCCTAAAGCCTATGGAATTAGGATTAGAAAGGGAAGGTTTCTCTGGAGAAAGGAAAGGTTTATTTCAAAAAGAACATTCTGAAATGGGATGGAGAAAGGAAAGGTTTTTATGGGGAAAGGCAAGGTTTCTCTGGAGCAAGAAAAGGTTTCTAAGGGGAAAGGTTCTTCTGGAGCAAGGAAAGGTTTTTGTGGGGAAAGGAAAGGTTTCTCTGGAGAAAGGAAAGGTTTCTACGGGGAAAGGAAAGATTTCTGTGGAGCAAGGAAAGGTTTCCATGGAGCAAGGAAAGGTTTTTCTGGAGCAAAGAAAGGTTTTTATGGAGCAAGGAAAGGTTTTTATAGACAAGGAAAGGTTTCTCTGGAGCAAGGAAAGATATTTTTTCCTGGAGCAAGGAAAGGTTTTTCTGGAGCAAGGAAAGGCTTTTCTGGAGCACGGACACATTGCTCTGGAGCAAGGAAAGGTTTTTCTGGAGCAAGGAAAGGTTTCTATGGGGAAAGGAAAGATTTCTCTGGAGCAAGGAAAGGTTTTTCTGCGCAAAGGTAAGGTTTCTATGGGGAAAGGTTTTCCTGGAGCAAGGAAAGGTTTTTTTTCTGGAGCAAGGAAAGGTTTCTGTGGAGGAAAGCTTTTTTTTTTCTATGGAGGAAAGGTTTCTATGGAGGAAAACCTTTCAAGGAAAGGTTTTTCTGGGCAAAGCAAAGGTTTTTATCCCTTCCTCCCTCCCCAGCTGCCCACCATCCCCTCTGATCAGGCTGGAGAGCCCCAAGGCGGCTCCGGCTCTCCATGGGTACCGTACCTGTATTTATTGGGGAACATCCTCTCGCAGTCCTTGCACTCGTAGCCCTGTCCATCTCCCAGCCCCTCCTGCTTGATCTCCTCGCTCAGGCTCTCATACAGAGCCCCCACAGCCCCGCATCCGTATTTCTTGTGGCGCCGCAGGTCCAGCTTGGACGGGAAGAGCTCATCGCAGTCCTCACAACGGAATGARGGCTCCTCTGCAACAAACAGAGCATGCCATGGTCATCCCTACCCCAAAAAAACACCCAGAAAAGCTGGGCTTGGCACCCAAAGGGGAGGCAGAGCACCCTGAGCATCCACAAACAAACAAACAGAGAGAATTCACGAGTGAGAGGGGACAGAACCCGAGGGAGGTTGTGCCAGCAGCTGCTTTCACTTTAGGCATTAAGAGAGAAAAAAAAAGCAGATCACACAACCAGGGGAGATCTTGGTTTCTTTGTGCTTTGGGYTTTGYTSAGATGGAGGGGTCTGGGARGGTTGGGAGATGCACAAAATGCTGGGCTCGGTCTGGAACGCTTGTTTGAAAATGTGAACGGGGTTTTTACTCAAAAAGAGCTGCCAGGGAAAAAGGAACAAGCCAGACTCGTAGAAACGCAGATAGTGGGGAAAGCAAACTGCCCCAGCACAAACCTGGAGAAGGTTCCTTCTAAGAAATTGCCTGGCTAAAGTTCTCCTCTTAATTTTCCACTGCAGGAGCTCAGGGCTCCATCAAACCCAGGAGTCCCAGCCCAGAGCACCATGGAAGGAAGAGCGGGGAGCCAAAGGCTTTGTTACTCTGCTCTTGGCTTTTATTTTTTTAATTTTTTTTCTTTTAAAATAAAAAAAAAAGTTCTAATGCACATAATAAATTACTGCAGTCAAGGTCAAACAAATTAAAAAGAGGGCAGCTATTATTAAGTTTACAAGGCAGCATCCTGACCGTGGTGCCAAGCCAAACAATCGGCTCGGAGCTGTAAATTTTCCAGGAGAACAAGCTCTGCGAGGGAGCTGGGATAGCTCTGACTCTCTCCACCCTGCAGCAGAAGCTTTCCAGCCCCCACTGAGTCACTGGAGCYGCGTTTCCCTGTCCTCCCCTACCCTCTTCCTCCACGCTCTGCCTCTCTGCTTCATGGTAAATGCGCTTCTCCTTTTCTGATAATTTTATTTTCAGGAGGAGCAGGTTGATGGTGGGAGCATCCAGCAGCACCCAGGACCCTGCACAGGGCTTCTCCACCCCAATCTCCTCCCAAACTCCCAACATCCTTCAAGTTCCACCTGGAAAATCCCTGGACCTGAAAATGCTTAGAATGGAGGAAACACACTTTTTTCCTCCCTTCTTTTGACTTTAGAGAAAACGCAATGAAATTCTTTCTTCAAAATCCGTGTGGAATTCTTCCTGCTTCAGATTGAGATTTACATCATTAATTGCAGCTTAATTCACCCAAACTCTCCTCTAGGAAGCAGAAATCCTCTCTGAGGTTGGAAAAGCTGCCTTGGAGAATAATTTCCTCCTTACCTGGCTAAAATCTGGGTAATCACTCCCCTTCCAGAGCACAGCCCTTACTGATGACACTGAGACATTTTTATCCTTTCTGTGAGCAGGTTAGGAGGTGAAATACATTAATAATCTCAAAAACATTTTGGAGAAGAGCTTTTGCTCCTAATTCTGCTTGTCCTGTGCCAGATCTCACCCAAAACAAAGAATAAATAAAAGAGGACATCAAACACAGCGGCTTTTCCACAGGTGGAAAAGATGGAGGATATGAAAAGCAGAGAATCTGGGTTTGGATAAAGGAATTTGAATTGGGAGAAGACTCAGAGAGCTGACAAAAATCTGATTAAAAGCCTTGTAGGCACGTGGTGTTCATGGTGCCACTGTCTGTAAATCCTGGTTTGATGCTCAGACAGGGTGAAGAGAGGAAAAATTGATCAGCTGAGGGTGGGAAGGCCCTGGGAGAGCAGCTGGATCCCTGGAAGTATCCAAAGCCAGGCTGGACAGGGCTTGGAGCACCCTGGGATTGTGGAAGTGTCCCCAGGGCAGGGGTGAGATGGGATGGGATGATCCTTGAGGTGCCTTCCAACCCAAACCATTCCATGATAACTCAGCCACATCCAGCACCCATCTCTGAGCTCCAGCAACCCCAGAGCAGATTCCTCAATAAACCTGACCTGCAGCCTTAGGGCCAGACCATCCCCTGCAAAACCAAAACCTAAACCACGGCAAAGGCTCAGTGCTGAACTCAGACCCGCTGATGATTTTGTATC